ATATCTGCAGAGGATCTCGAAGGTAGTTGAAAGATGTTAAAAATGATCTTCTGTTTTGTGTATATTTAACCAACATATCATCAATGTACACTTCCATCGTCTTCCCCAGGTGTTCTTGGAACATCTTGGTCACCAACCTCTGATATGTGGCTCCAGCATTTTTCAAGATAAAAGGCATGACTTTGTAACAATAAGTCCCCCTGTTTGTAATAAATGAAGTTTTTTCTTTGTCTAAGGGGTCCATTTTATTTGATTATAACCAGAATACGCATCTAGAAAGCTTAATAATTCGTGGCATGTGGTAGCATCAATCAATTGATCTATATGCGGTAAAGGGAATGAATCCTTCGGGCATGCTTTATTTAAGTCAGTGTAATTCACACAAACTCTCCATTTACTGTTCTTTTTCGGAACTACCATAGTATTAGCTAACCAATTAGGATATTTTACCTCGCGTATTGAATCAATCTTTAAGAGTTTTTGTACCTTTTCATCGATCACTTGATTTTTGAACGATCGTTGCTTCCTCTTTTTTTGTTTGACAGGTATAAATGATGGATCTTTATTTAATTTATGAGTCATCACCTCCGGAGGTATACCTGTCATATCTGAATGGGACCATGCAAAACAATCCGCGTTAGCTTTTAAATATTCAATTAACTTACGTCTCCTATCTGGTTTTAACCTTGATCTGATATGAATTCTTCGATCTGGCCATTGTTCGAATAGCGGAACAGCTTCAAGCTCCTCAATCGTTGTTTTAATGTTTTCATTCTCCTCTGGCTCTTGAATTACATCTGGTCTGGAGTCCACGTCTGTTTGTTTTGATACAATTTCTGTTGAAATTTGATTTACCGCATCTTTCTCACTTGCACCCGCATCTTTTTGACTTGCACTCGTATCTTTTTTACTTGCATTCGCATCTTTTTGACGTGGCTGTATCACCGAATTGATGCTCCTTGAAGTTTGTTGATCTCCTCGAATCTGTTGAATTCCCCATTTTGAAGGGAATTTGATAACCTAATGTAATGTGGATGGCACAACGTCCATATCATGAATCCACGGCCTTCCAAGAATCACATTATAGGCCATATCCGTGTCTATCACTTGAAATTTTATTTCTTTGATGACCCCTTCTGCGTATGTTCTTAGTTCAATCTCGCCCTTTGTAATAACGGTTGAGTTATCAAACCCAGATAAGGAACATGCTTTTGGAACTACACGATCGCCAATCAGCATTTCGTTCACCACTCGTAATAAAATGATATTCACAGAGCTACTTGGGTCAATCAAAACTTGTTTTACATTAGTATCATGTATAAGTAAACATATTACCAGTGCATTGTTGTGAGGAATCATTAATCCATCGGCATCTGTATCATCAAAGGTTATGTTGCCATCTTCCAGAGTTTGGCGAGTTCGCTTCCCGTGAGTTATTGTGAACTTTGTTGTTTTTCTCGCGGTTGTATAGGTTACGTCATTGACTTCTTCTCCGCCGTTTATCACATTTACTATTCTCTTTGGAGACGGAGGTTTTGGGGGCTCTTGCCTATTTTTCATGTAAGCTTGTTTGCCTTTCTCGCTGAACAATTCCGTCAGATAGCCCTGCTTCAATAAATGTTCCACCTCATCTTGTAATAATCTGCAGTCTGATGTTCTATGGCTGTGATCATTATGGAATTCGCACCAAAAGTTTGGGTTTCTTCTATTTGGATTTGATCTCATCTCTTTAGGCCATCGTACCTTATCCCCCATGCTTCTTAAAACAGCGACCAACTCAGAGGTACTCACGTTAAAATTGTAGTCCCCAATCCTTGCGTTTGTATTAGCATCTCTGTTACGTTCACCTCGATCTTTTCTGAATCTCGACGATGACGAACCTGATTCTCTATTTGCGAACCTGTGATCAGCCCGCACGTTTTTGAATTTGAAACGAGCTTCTCACCCTGAAGGTCCCATATAAGGCTCGTACCTATTCTTACCGGACCTCTTCTCAGATTTTGACCACCTCGAACCTGTTTTTTCTCCAACCCTTAACTGAGCTACGATATCTTTTTCGATCCGTAACTTGGTACTGTACCTATTGTAGACATCATTCCATGTTGTGGCAGGGAATTCTCGTAGGCTCTCTTTAAGCCTCCTCGTAGCTTCTGAACTTTTCTCGTTTAAATTGCTTGCAAATGCCATGGCTGCCCAATTGTCAGGTACTCTTGGTAGCAACATTCTTTCATGTTGGAATCTGTCTATGAATTCTCGAAGCAATTTTGTATCTCCTTGCTTTACTTTGAATATATCCTCCATTCTCTTTTCAACTTTTTGTGCACCCCGAGTGTGCTTTTATAAATAGATCTACAAGCTCAGCAAAAGAATCAATAGAATTTTCAGATAAAAGAGAATACCATGTTAACGCTCCTTTAGTAAGTGTTTCCCCAAACTTTTTGACCGGTACAGATTCAATCTCCTGCTTGGTTAAATCATTGCCTATTACTCCCGTGGTGAATGTAGTAACGTGGTCACGTGGATCGGTCGTTCAATCGTATTTTGGGATGTCAGACATTTTGAACTTTTGGGGAATTGGTAATGGAGCTACGCTTGGTTTCCATGGTTGTTGTGAATATTTGTCGAAATCAACTCCTTTGATCACAGGTGGTATGCCGGGTATTTGCTCAATACAGTCATTTTGTTCTTTCACCTGTTTCTACAAGGTTAGTATTAAAGTTTGTAAATCAGAATTATTGGGCGTACATGGTCTCCCATCACGTGACTCGTTGGGAGTTCCTCCGCTTCCAGAATTAGCCAACCCTGAGCGTGAAATTTTCACAGTTGCAGTATTGTTTGGTGGAGGTGTGGGTGGCACAGTTGGTAGTCCCCTCACGAAAGCCTGGAGAGCATCATTCACGTACTCAGCGATTATCTGCTTCACAACATCCTTCTCGACAGTTTGTTCATTTCCATGTTGTTCATTGTTATGAGAAGTGGATCTTTCTAGTGATGCTTCTCTTGAATTGCGTGGGGTTCCTTGAGGTGACGGAACTGGAGTTCCTTCCACCTGCTGGTTGTTGTCATTGACATTCGACATGATTCAGTTAGAGAGAGTGATTTGGAAAGTAAGAGAAGATTATTAGAGTCCCGGCAATGGTACCAAATTGCTTAATCAAAGAATTAGATTCTCAGTCAAAGCCTATTTTTAGAAGTACTCGGGTTACTGATAATCAAAAAATTCAATATTCTCTCAGAAATAAGAAAAGAAATTAGAATAAAAAATGACAAAGTAATCAATAGAAAGTACAAAAAAGTAATTATATTTCAATAATAATCAGAACGTGTCTGTACAAATGACATTTCTTTCCCTTATATAGAGGTCTTCAAGTACAACGTCTTTTTCCTTTTAAGACCGAGTCATTATGAGCATTAATGACATTAATGAAACGTTATAATTGGTGATCGTAACTGTTTGTGAAGATTCTATAACGTTTGTAATCATCCACGCTCATTAATTGAAGATCCATGCATCTTCCCTTCTTACTGTCTTGGTTCATTTCACCGGTGCCTCTTTATATAACTTAAAGAGACTCGAGCAACCATTTCTTTTCACCTCGTGGTTGATTTGTTCGTATCTGCTGCGACTCGTGTCTCTTTTAGTGCTCCTCTCTGGTTGTCGCTTTTCTAGTGATCCACGTGCCTTGCCATGTCAACCACATAATTAACTCCACGTGTAATATTTATTTTTACCAATACTCCAACAAACAGTAGATTATTAAAGCTTTAAAAGTGTCATGTATGTTTTTATGTTTTGCTAATTTTCCTTTGATTCGAAGTGTACCAAATCTTATCGACTACTAAAAGTTGTGATTTTTTGAATTACGGTGAAATCTCCAAGTATAATTGGTTTGAAACTATGTGTATAATACGCCCGTCCTCTATGCTTATCCAATTAAATACTAGGCCTTTGTTACTTTAAAAAAATTACGAGTATTTTATTTGTGGCGGGATACAATAATTGTGATTGATTGTAATTTTTAAATGGTAAAAATAATTTCAAAAAGTTAAGAAACCATGTCCAAGTTCCTACAATGAATAACCACTAGTATTTGTCGTAACTAATCAAATCATCAAATCATTGTAAATTAAAGTGGAAAGTGGATGTTTGTGAGAGATGCGTAGCTTGCTTCCTTTTGTTAGAGCAGCATATGGTGGTTCATGTTGTAACTGGAATTATTTTCCCTAGGAAAGACCACTCTAGGTGAGAGGCATCTCACTGGTGAATTTGAGAAGAAATATGAACATAGGTTTTTGATTTCTTGCAATGAAAGAAGAGGTTATGGTTTGATTATCTGAGTCATTATCCTACTCTAAAATAGGCTTGCTTGATTTTTTGTTTCATTGTTTTCTCACGAGTTGATTGTTAGTTATATTTTGTCACAAACAGCTAATATTACGGGGTCCGGTGACCTATCAATGGCATAAGTAGGTCCGCCTCTGCTGTTGGAACTGGAGAAGAGAAGTTTGGATAATTACTAGTTAAATCCTAAGAGTGATATATTGTATACTGGCATGTGTTGATTGTGAAGAATAGTTGAAACATGTGGTGATTATATCAAATGCTTCTAGGTATTTCAAAGACATAGTTCTCGTATTTCAGGTTATAATATCATAGGTGACAGAAAGTGGGCTCATGTACTTGCTCTTTTTTAAATCAAATTCATGCCGTTAGATGGCGCTTACCTTTCTTTGCATAAAGAAATTACATGAAATGCAGAAGGGGATAACAACCAAACCTCTGCCAAAAGATCCATGATTACATTCTGAGTACAACTAACAAGCAAGGATAATAACTATTATTATGAGAAGCTCTATCCTGCTATTCAAAAAATGTAATCCAAAATATANAGTTTATTCTTTTGCCGATGCCTTATGGATGCCATTTGTGCTTTATCAAGAATATATAGGCCTCAAGCACTCCTTAGGATTACAGAAGATAGCTTCTCTGTCTTCAATACTAAATTCAGAAAGGGTGTCGTCAACTTGATTTGCCTGTTTATAACAATGTCGAATCACAAAGTTGGCATGCCTTGTAAATTTTCTAGTCTCCATTATAATTTCCTGCAACTTCCAAACCAACTTCAGCCTTCCTTTAGTCATATTGACAACAACCAATGAATAACATTCCAAAATTATATTCACAAAACCAAGAACCTGAGAGCAGATGGCTGCTCACTACCATGTTCAATCTATGTTGCACAAATTCTTAGATATTACCCACCTCAGCTAATAAATGGCCTGATGTTTAATCCTAGCAAAACAAACTCTAGAAGATCCATATCTTGCATACACCTTGCTTTCCATATCTCCCAGCAAATAACAATTTGAGTGACTCTAAGAAGTACTTGATGAATGGTGTTTTGGGGCTTCAAAGACCACCATGTAAAAAGAACTTCAGGAGTAGGTTTCCGTCAAACACCAAGAAGAGCTCCAAAGAAGTTCCATAAGTAAACAGTCAATTCTCCTGCAATCAATGTATGATGGATAGTCTCTCCCTGTGGGATTCTGCAACAAATACATTTGGAAGCAAATTACTGACCAAATCTGATAAGCTCCTCAACAAAGGGGAGTTGTCTAATAATGGCGAAATCTGATAGTCTCTCCCTATCTATTGAGCTAAGATCTAATACTTGCCATTAGTAGTCTTGGTTGAAGTTTTTATTGACTGTTTTGGCTGCTCAAATTTCTTTATATTAATCGTGCAACATTCATAGGCAATGTGCAATTATCATGTTTGATGTTACAGCCCGTCTGATCTACGAGAATGTTCCCACATGGCATCAAGATCTTTGCAGGTTTGGAACTCTTTATCAGGTTGTCAGGATTATACCCAATATAACTTATACTATAATTGATAATATGCAATTGAATCTAACCTGACATTTCTATTGCTTCTCTTAGGATTTGTGAAAATATGCCCATTGTTCTTTTTGAAAACAAAGTTGATGTCAAGAACAGACAGGTTAAGGCAAAGCAAGTGACCTTCCACGGGAATAAAAATTTGCAATACTATGAGATCTCGTCAAAGAGTAATCAGAATTTTGAGAAGCCTTTTCTATACCTTAGTAGAAAGCTTGTGGGGTAAGTCTAAATATAATTCTATTTCCTGTTTGCTCGATTCATATATTCTGGTGCAGTATGAAACTCAGTTTGTTCTTGTTCTGCTTTCAAGGATGCTAATCTTCACTTTGTGGAATCACCTGCTCTTGCTCCCTAGAAGTTCAAATTGATTTAACTGCACAGAAGCTGTAAGTGTAAGACCTCTTTACTCGTGTTTCATTATTTTGTGATTCTACTAATACCATGTGTCTATATGCATATTCCATACAATTAAGAGCTTTGCCTTATTTCTGAAAATATCGGACAAGTATACAGATATTCATTTCATATTTTGTTACCTGAGTTAGAAGTACGATTTTAGTCATGACAAGTCCATGTAATCTGCAGTATGGAACAAGGATTAGGTTCCTGTCAGGTTTTAATCATGCAAGTTGCTCGTATCAAGGAAAAAGGCTTGAACATATGTTGCTTGTTTATTTGAGTTGCAAAGGCTTTGTTGTGCTTGGAGTTTTGCTTTCCGTTTGTATGACCTTTTGATGAACACAAAACACAACACGAAATTGATGCTCACTAGCTAAAGATAGTATGATTTAATTATCGTCTCGACAAGAATTGGATTTAAACAATGTTCAAGTAATTATTAGCTTAACTCTATTCATGATAATTAACACTTTGGTTGGGATGATTAATAACTAAAATTAACTATGAAAACTAAAGCAATTAACAATTGATCATTGAGAGACAAGAGTTGAGCAAATCCGAAATAATCAATAGGAGAAATAAAGGTAGTGACAGGATAGGTGCAAGATAGCTATTCAGGATCTAACTCTAGTTCAATTCACTCTAATATTCTAATGATTCTTACAAATTCACTCGATGATTAGTTCAAATGTGTAGCCAAGACTCCTCTCTCGATTAAATCTTAACTCCACGAGGTGAACTAATATAAAGCACTGTGAAAATATGCAAGCACGCGTTAATGGATTAGTCTCTAGGAAAACGTCACTCGAATATTCTACTAACTTGATTTACTCAACAATTCAATAAGCTCTTTCGATTACTTAAAAAAATCACAGAATAAACCAAACAAAATAATGCAAAAATAATCACCAAAATATTCCTCTTTCGATTAAATAAATCGGTGAATAAAGTTGCAATCAATTCTAAGATCCATAAACGAATTCATGCGAAGAACTAAAGTTAAAAATCACAAATATCAATTAAAATACCATATCCGTCAAAACCTAAGGTAAATTATTCCATAATCATGGAGAAAGTCATCACAAATAAATTTGAATAATAAAAAAACATGAATTCAATCTAAACTCGGGTGTTGAATTGATGAAAAAATGAGGAATCCTTGTGCTTTAAGTCTCCAATGCTCTTCCAATCTTTCGTAGGTCAAAAGTCCTCTAAAAACATGTTTCTAGTATATTTATACCAAGTCGGAATGTTCCTGGACCAAACTACCCTCTTTGAGCCGAAGTGAAAAACTCTGAAAAACTTTTTACACTTCATTCGCCGCATAGTGCTACGCGCCCCTGCGTTGCATTAGCGTATTTTGCTCGGTTGTCAATTCTCTGAACGTAGCTTGTCTGACAAACTTTTGTACTAATACGTCGCATTAGTGTATTTTCCTGTCAGACCCAAAAACTCCAAGTCTCTGAACTTCTCAAACTTCTGACGAACTTTTGTACTAGTGCGTCGCTTAAAGCCACGCCTTATGCAATGCAGTAGTACACCTTTCTCCAGCCCATGCGCTTTCTTCAAACTTTCGTATGCAACGCTAGTCCACGAGCCCCGGATGCGATCCTGGTTTAATTTTTTGGGCTTTACTCAGACTTCAAAGCTCCAAATTATTCAATTTAGCTCCAGAATATCTTCTTAACTCGAAATCATCTCCTACAAGGCATAAAATACATAATAATTGTGTATCATCATCATTTAAGCTCAAACACGCTCAAAGTGCAGTAATTAGAGAGCAAAATACGGCTAAAACATGTGTTCCTAGCCTACCATCAACACCCACACTTAAACTATTGCTCCTACTCGAGCAATCAAACTACACTTCAAATAGAGACGATCTTTTCATCAAACAACTTCCCTCAAACATCATGCCAAGAATATTTAAAGCAGACTAAGCACCATACCGTAACATCCTAGCCTCAAGACTCGACTCAAAAGCACCACACATTTTCTTCAAAAACCTGCTCACTTACTCTAACACAGATGCTAAAAATATTACATTTCCTTCACAAGTCATGTGCCATCACATAATCAATAGAGAGTAGTTCCACACACAATAAAGTTCATGAACAATTAAGAATTCAAGATAGAAAGAATTAACTCACCCTCAAAATAAAACTCATGTGCCACAGAAGACATACCATAGGCTTGTTCGTAGTGTAATACTCTACTAATGGAGCTCATTCAGTCCAGGATCAAGTAGGACTTAATTTGGGTGTAATGTAGGATGCAGGACGGGTAGGATACAATTTCGATAATAGTGACTACACCTCCTTAAGCACTTTAATACATATATATTAACATGCCAACCTCACACTTATATTGAACCAAACCCCAACCTTTACACATAATAGCATTAAGCTCACAATATCTTAAAGTACAAACAAGATGAGAACTACGAATCTTAAAGTGGTAATGGAGAACTACCACTAGCAAGGAATCAAAATTTTCCTTTTCAAAGTTCTAATTTTTTCTTTTTCAAGCAACTACATTTGTGTTTTTTCTTTCAATTCCTTACAGGTAGATCTCATAATTTTCAAACAACGCACATTTCTCCATTTTTCTCAGTTCCACTCAAAAGCCAACCTTACCTCCACTTACCTTCTAACAAGCTCATAACAAATTCAAGTGCTCAATTGAGGTGAAAGGTTCAAACAAAGAGTCAATTCAAATAAAGGGGTCAGGCTTGTAGTGTGGTTGCCGAAGAAATAGGATTACAGGCTCAACGGGGCTAACTAACATATATCACAATTAGGTGGGTAAAAACATATATCTGGCTTAACAAAAAAATGCCTATATCACTTTCTAGACTGAACAAGACTGTTATTTCGCTTTGCAAACACACATGGTAAGTTCTAGACATCAATTGACATGCACAGAATATCACAAATCCTCACACACACCATAGCACATAACTCACTTAGGATCAGATCTATCCCAACTCTCTAGTCAAAGCGGTTAAGCCAAGTCAAAATCAAACAAATTAAAATACTTATTCATGAATCAAGAACTAAGCCTAGGCGTCACAACTAAAATACTCACCGCTCTCAAGGACAACAGAGTTAAGACAAGTTATCTCCATTTAACACTACAACACAAGACTTCTCTATTCCTAATAAAAGAAAAACTAACTACATCCGGTTCAAGTAAAACCCTTGAAAAAGAACCGCAACACAAAGAAAAACCAAGGGGGAATTGTTACACTACTTAAGAAAATAAAACAAAAATGAAAGATAATTTTTTTTTCTTCACCTCTAATCCCTCAAGAAGATAGTTGAGGAAATTCATCGTCGGAAAAAGTCAAAAAAAATCTTTTTTTTTTCAAATAACACTAATGAGAGAACACACACAAATAAAAAGACACATATACATATTTACATCCCACACTTTAATTTGTGGCATATCCCCATGACACACAAATAAAAAGAAAGAGGTAAAGAAAACTCCCTAAATCATCTAGTTTGGGTCTGAATCAAAGTCGAGATCCACGTTGCACGCCTGACCCAATGCACACATCCATGCTAAAAGTTTTTTTTCCTTCTTCGGGTACACCTCACACTTGTCATGCTTACCCTCTCCGGGTCACTCTTTTAGGGCCCTTGCCTTGAATTTAGAGTGTGCAGTCAGCTCATCTCTAGGTGCCCCCATTGCTCCCTTCATCTTGAAAATCACTATTTCTTCTCCCACTCTGAGCATGAGCTGCCTTTCCTGAATGTCCAGAATAGCTCTGCCAGTAGCCAAGAAGGGTCTCTCTAAAATTAGAGAGACCTCCCTTTTATCTTCCATATTCACCATAATGAAGTCCATATGGAACACAAATTTATCCACTCGAACAAGCACATCTTCCATTATTCCTTCAGGTATGATTGTGATCTGGTCCTCCACCTGCAAAGATACAGGTATAGATCTGATTTCTCCAATCTCTCCTTCTAATTTCTTGAAAATAGATAAAGGCATAAGATTAATAGAAGCACCTGAATCATACAAGGATTTTTCAAACTTAGTACTTCCTAAAGAATAAGATATAGTAAAACTCCCTGGATCTCCATACTTTTGAGGGAGCTTATTTTGCAGAATGGCACTACAATGCTCTGTGAGCTTGACATCCGATGTCTCTTCCAACTTACGTTTGTTGGACAATATCTCCTTCAGAAACTTAGCATATACTGGAATCTGAGAGAGCACCTCTATGAAAGGTAGATTAACATGCACCTGCTTGAGCGCTTCTAGAAAATGTCTGAATTGTTTGTCCAGCTTCTCTCTTCTTTGCTTCTGGAGGAAAGGTAGAGCAGGCATGTATTTGATCTCCTCAGTCTCCTCATTCATTGAATTCCCATCATTCTTCTTCTTCTGAGCTCTAGTATTTCCCTTCTTCTTCTTCAGACCACCATCTACCCTCACTTCACCTTCTTGATTATTGCTATTTTTTTGCTCTTCCACAATCTCTACATTTCCTTCAATCAACTCATCCTTTTGTTTTGCAATGGAATCCTTCAATACGTGTCCACTTCTTAAAGACACCACATTTATTATCTTCTTTGGATTTTTTCAGTATTAGCAGGGAGAGTTCCTGGAACCCTCTCAGACAATAGATTAGCAAGTTGCCCTACCTATCTTTCCAAGTTTCAAATGGTTGTGCCATGAGTTTCAAGCCTCTCATTTGTCTTAATAATAAATGCCTTCATAAGATCTTCTATGCTAGACTGATTAGAAGGATGGTATTGTTGCCTCTACTGATTGAGAAAACCTGGAGCTCCATGTCCCTGGGGTATGGAGTTATTCTGTTGCTCCCATGGAGTTAAAATTATTGCCACTTTGGTAGTTGCCTCTGTCAAAGCTCCCCATAGCATTTACCATTTCATCTGTAGTCGAGGCCTCACACTCATACACTGGATGACCCCTACCATAAAAGTCACAAACTGATGATGACTCGCTCTGGACCTTGGCTAAGGTTAACTTTCTTATCTCTCTGGCCATGGTGTCTATCCGGGCTTACACTGATGTGTTAGAGTCTACCTGGTTAATCCCAACTGCTTTTCTTCTATCATTACTCTCAGTGAGCCATTGGTTAGCATCTTCATACAGTTCATCAAGAATCGCAACAATCTCTTCAGGAGTTTTCTTTATTAAAGGGCCTCCAACTGCAGTACTCAGAGTTCGTCGTGAGGAAGGTGTCAGTCCATCCCAAAAGTCCTGAAGTTGCATCCATGGTTCGATTCCACTATGCTGACATCTTCTCACTATCTCCTTGAATCTTTTCCAGGCTTCGAAGACCGTTTCGGTGTCTTT